GTCTTTCTTTTTCCTTGCTGTCCTGTTTCTCTTCCTCTGTTTCTCTTTTATTATATACTTTTTCCAACACCGCAACCAAGTCCCTTAGCCTCTTTTCCCCTAAATGCTCTAGCTATTGCAACTTTTTCTTAATGTCTGGTGCTGCCTGATTTAGAGATGCTAAAATGACAGCCTGCTGTGCTTCCTCTGACTCCAGGTCCTAAGGAGAGAATTGCTTAAAGGCTGTCATAAGCCTATCCAAATGGGCAGCAGAACTTTCATTCCTTTTTTTTGTCTAACATCATAAATTTTAGCCTTATTTGTGGGCTTATGCAGGGCAGTCTTGAGACCTTTTATCAGAGTCTGGTGGTAGACTCGGAGTTTCCCCTTACCCTCTGCCTTGTTGTAGTCCCAGTCAGGGCATGTTGCTGGAAAAGCAGCTGCAATTAGAACTGGGTCAGTCAAAGGGGCTCCTATGGGACCAGAGACTGACTTTCTAGCATTCTCTAGGATTCTGTTTCTTTCTTCCATGGTAAAGAAGAACCCAACAGTTGTTGAACACAATCCCAGGTAGGCTGATGAGTAAATCGAACAGTTTCCAACAAATTAACTAGACCTTGGGGATCCTGAGAAAAGGGGAGGCCTTCCAGTTGTATAGATCACTAGTAGCCAAGGGCCAGTAATAGAAAGGCTGATTACCCTGGTTGTCTGGGGTACCAGCTGCTCAGAGGGGAAGGGCTACAGTGGTGTTTGGCAAGGGGATCCTCCTCTCCTACTCCAGGTGGAGTGAACCCAGCTTTTATGTCCTGGACCTGAGGGACCATGGTCTGATTCTGCTGGTGCTGAAAGGGTTGGGAGAGCTCCTCCTTGGGGCTCCCTCCCTGGAAGACCAGGAGTTCTGCCCCAGCCTCCTTGAACTTAGAGGAGCACCCCACCACTATTTTGGATGCCAGAATGTAGGCTCTGGGGTCCTATGGGACAAAATTGCTTTAACTCAAGGATAAGGTTCTTCATCTCTATCAATCCCTTCTAGGCAACAATGTAAGGATCTGGTCAGGATGACCGGCACGGGGTGGTAGACTATCCTTGCCACTCTATGCATACTCTCCAGGTCAAAAGTTCCCCCCACTGGCCATCCAACATTGAGCAATGGTCAGTAGACTGAGCAGAAGAAGACCCATTTGCACTTCTGGACCGACACTCTCTTGTTGTTGGCTGTATCCTTAAGGTCCTGCCAGTGAGCAAGAGTAGGATCCAAAAGGGTGGAAGGGGTTTTTTCCCATAGTAGTAGAGGGAGAGGTGGAACAGCTTAGAATGAACAGAGCAACCAAGACACAGACTCTGATCAAAGCAAGCAAGCACAAATCCAGACCTTGACAATATCCTGGGACAAAGAACAAGATACTTCCTCTTCTCTTGGCGAGGGAAGAAACCCAAAAACACTCCTGACTGGGAACGAGATATCCACAAGAGGTTCCTATTCGCTCCTTGCCAGAGTCAATGAAACCTGACTTCAGCTATCTCGAGGCTTGCAGCAGCCAGTCTAACTAGCTACAACCTCCACACGATTGAGACGTCCCTCCATCTCTCCAGGATTACTTTCAGGACACTTATATCCCCGTGAGGGCCTGGTTAACACTTGGTCTGCTTTCACCCAGAGTGCCCAAGCCCGAGTATGTTCTCTCTCTCTCTCTCTCTCTCTCTCTCTCTCTCTCTCTCTCTCTTTCCCTCTTTCTCCCTCTCTCCCTTCAGAGAGCTGCTCTGCCCTGGAGAGCCTTTCCTTCCCTCTGTCGAAGAGCTTAGGGAAACATATATATCAGACAATCAGCACATAAATATACATCTAACCGGTATTAGAACAAACCTCTAGAACTTGGGGGTTGCGACGGGGCTCTCCTGGGTTCATGGCCAATGCACCAAATGTTGTGCCCAAGGTACAAACCTCAGAGAGACCACCAGGATCAAGTCAAGTCCAGAATGAAAAAGCTAGGTTTATTGAGCATGCAATTCAGCCATTTCAGCCATTTGGTTATTTCTATCAAGCCCCCTTCCCAAAGTGGTTATGTCTAGCAAATACTGGTTATGTCTAGCAGGCTGCCTTCCCCAAAGCCCTCCCTGAAGCAGTCAACTTTTTCTGCTCACTGATAGACCACAGAGCTAGGTGTTAACAGGTGGCCTGCTGCCAGGATGCAGGAGCACTTTGTCGTGAGCTCAGGGCCCTAGCAAGACATCCTGTTTTCAACCAGCCCTAGATGTCTTGCATTTGAACACAATGTCCTAATTAGCTATTAAGCAAGCAAAAAGTTACTTAAAATTTATCATGTCCTTACAATAACTCAATATCCAATGTCTGAAATCCATTCACAATCTTCTGTGCTCCTCCAAAGGAATTAGGTCCCTTCTCTGGCTATACCCTCTGCAGCACTGATTTGAACTGGCTCCACACCACTGCTCCTGCTGTCCTTGCTGGTCATCCCAAGGTACTGGCATCTCCAAAATGATGGGGTCCCTTGATACAATGAGGCTGACACCAATAAAAAAAAGAAAAGAACTTTAAGGCTTTGAAGAAAGAAATTGAAGAAGACACCAGAATATGGAAAGATCTCCCATTCTCTTGAATAGGTAGGATCAACATAGTAAAAATGGCAATCCTACCAAAGACAATCTATAGATTCAATGAAATCCCCATCAAAATCCCAACAAAATACTACACAGACCTTGAAAGAACAATAATCAACTTCATATGGAAAAACAAAAAACCTAGGATAGCCAAAACAATCTTATACAATAAAGGAACTTCCAGAGGCATTACCATCCCTGACATTAAGCTCTATTACAGAGCTTCAGTAATGACAACAGAGATGTTGACCAATGGAATCGAACTGAAGACCCAGCTATTAATCCACACATCTATGAACTAATTTTTGACAAAGAAGCTAAAATTATACAATGGAAAAAGAAGAAAATATCTTAAACAAATGGTGCTGGCATAACTGGATGTCAACACATACAAGAATGAAAATAAATCCATATCTATCACCATGCACAAAACTCAAGTCCAAATGGATTAAATACCTCAATATAAATCCTACCACATTGAATCTGATAGAAGAGAAAGTTGGAAGTAGTCTTCAATCCATGGGCACAAGAGACTACTTCCTAAATATAACCCTGATAGCACAGACACTAAGAACAACAATAAGTAAATGGGACCCAATGAAACTGAGAAACTTCTGTAGAGCAAAGAACACATTCAATAAGACAAAAAAGCAGCCTACTGAATGGGAAAAGATCTTCATCAATCCCTCATCAGACAAAGGACTGATCTCCAAAATATATAAAGAACTCAAGAAATTAGAAATTAAAATTCTGAAATAACCCAATTAAAAAACTGTGTACTAAACTAAACAGAGAATTCTCAACAGCAGAATTTCAAATGGGCAAGAGATACTTAAGGACGTGTTCAACTTCCTTAGCTATCAGGGAAATGCAAATCAAAACAACTCTGAGATACCTTCTTTCACCTGTCAGAATGTCTAAGATCAAAAACACCAATGATAGCCTACGCTGGAGAGGATGTGGAGTAAGGGGAACAATCATCCATTGCTGGTGGGAATGCAAACTTGTACAACCACTTTGGAAATCAGTATGGTGATTTCTCAGAAAATTGGGACTCAACCTACCTCAAGATCCAGCAATACCACTCTTGGTATTGCTCAATCATACTACAAAAGCATTTGTTCAGTATGTTCATAGCAGTATTATTTGTAATAGCCAGAACCTGGAAAAAACCTAGATGCTCCTCAACTGAAGAATGGATAAAGAAAGTGTGGCACATTTACACCTTAGATAACTACTCAGTGGTAAAAACAAGTACCTCTTGAATTTTGCATGCAAATGGATAGAAATAGAAAACCCTATCCTGAGTGAGGTAACCCAGACCCCCAAAATAAATATGGTCTGTACTTACACATAAGTGGATACTAGCCATACACCAAGGATATTTAGCCTATAGTTCATGATCCTAGTGAAGCTAAGTAATAAGGTGAACCCAAAGAAAATCACATATAGACCCTCCTTGGAAACAGACAAGATCGCATGAAAAAATTGGGAGCTTAGGGATTGGGAGAGGTAGAAGGAAGGGAAGAAGGGGAGGGTTGAGGAGAACGTGAGGGAATGGGATATTAGAGATTCACGAAGGACAAATATGAGAGCAAGGAAAGAGATGTCTTGATTGAGGGAGCCATTATGGGGTTAGCAAGAAACCTGACCCTAGAAAAATGCTCAGGAATCTACAAGGATGAGCCCAGCTAAAACCCTAAGCAATAGAAAAGAGTGTGCCTGAACTGGCCTTGTGCTCTAGTCAGACTGATGATTATCTTAAATATCACCATAGAACTTTTGTCCAACCACAGATGGAAACAGAGGCATTGACACACATCAGAGCACTGGACTGAGCTCCCAAGGTCCAGTTGAAGAGTGGAAGGAGTGAGAATATGAACAATGAGGTCAAGGCCATGAGGGGTTCACCTACTGCGACAGTTTGCCTGAGCTAATGGGAGTTCACAAACTCCTACTGGACTGGGAGTGAATGAGCATGGGATCAAACTAGTCCCTCTGAATGTGGTTGTGTGTTTGTGCAGACTGAGGGGCTACTGACAGTGGCACTGGGATTTGTCTCTTCTGCATGTACTGGCTTTTTTGGGATCCTAAACTCTTTGGATGTATACCTTGCTCAACCTAGATGTAGTAGGGAGGGCCTTTGACTTGTCACAGAGCAAGGTGCCTTGTTCTCGTTTAGGATTGGAAAAGGAGGGGGGAATGGTGTGGGGAGGGAGTGGGAATTTGAATTGGTATTTTTTAAAAAGTAATAAAATAAATAAAAAAGCTGAAAAAAACCCAAGAAAAATAAAAATGCACCATGGATTAAAAAAAAAAACACAGTACAGGAAGTATATAGAGGAACTGTTGCTTAGCCCTGAGCTTTGGTGTCAAATTGAGTCAGCGTCAAGTCTTGAGAAAGAGCATATCCACTTTCTGTTTGTACTGTGTGTCCTCATCCTGACAGCATTCCGGGCTACAGTTTGTTCTATCCCGTTGCTGTGTCCCACTGTGCAGACTGTATCACCAGTTCTGTTTCTGTGGAGATCGGGCATGAGACACTGCCATGGTCCTTGGAGCTGCTCTTCCTGGACTTGGTAAGTATGACAGGGGTCATCATTTTTAGCTATTGTGGTAGTGAGTACAGAGTCCCAGGTTTATAACCTAGGCTCCTCTCATAGAACTCTTCTTCAATGAAGACCTGGTCTGGTGGCTGCAGAGCAGTCTTCCTTGACTTTAGCCTGTCCATTGGGACCTGGTCTTTTGATCTGAGCTCTGGGATCTGGGTCAGTTTATAACAGGACAGATTTCCCTCATCAGTCTTTTGCTCTATTTTCAGTGTTTTTAATGGTGCAGAGGACCTGGGCACAGTATGGTGAGTCTGTTCTCTGTTTTAGCCCTGGGGAACTAAGTTGGCTGGGAGTAGCATGGGAGGAGCTTGAAGCATCTTGTGTAGATCCTGGGACGGGATTTTTCACTGGCATCCACTGGCACACTTACTTAATGATCCGTACTAACTACTGTAGTCATCTCTGGGGTGGGGATTCTCGACTGTGCTCCAGTAAAGCCTGCATGATATGTGTCTCAGAAGGATATTGAATAAATGGCACAGAGGAGGGGGCACCTGCACACGTTTCCTCCCGAAGAGATAGATATTTGATTTTGAATTTGTTTCAATTTTCCTCCTATCTCTTCTCATTTGGGCTTTGCCTTGCTCTCTTACTGATTCTGCCATTGCTAAGGCTTGTCATCCATGAGACAGAGTTGAATAAAATACTGTCTAGTGTGTGTGTTGCATTAATCGGATTCATTTATTTTCAGAGGCTCCCAGGCTTTGTGTGACTTTGTAGGTGGGAATAGTGTTTGGGTTTTTCATGGACACAAGAGACAAAATCAAACATAGGTCATTGATTTGAATGGATTTCCCGTTGAATATCCCAGAGAAATGGGACAATTTGGTGATAAGAATAGCAGCCTATAGGGTTCATTCCTGGGCTGATAGGACACAAGTAGAGAAGCCACTGATAGTGTTAAGGTTTGAGGGTTATTCTGGCATTGTTTGGGA